GCATTTAACACAAAAAATCACAACAGCCTAAAAACCATTATATTGGAGTAATTTATTGTAGGAAACACAAGAAGCAGAACACAAGTGACCTACATGTAGAGACTGTAGAGCTGAGTGGGCTTACAGAATTTGAGAAACAGGCACAGGTGATGTCTGTGTGTGTTTTTATCTGTAAAGAGCAACAGACACCTACAGTGCTGCAGTTGTGTGCAAACTAACATTCAAGGGAATTTTGACACATGACAGTAAGCTATAAATCGCTTAACGGCTATGGTTTTATTTGAAATGGAACTACTTTTTGTATACAGTATATTTTTACCACAATCTGTAAAATATGCAAATTTTCACTTGTTTTTGAGAGGCATCTTGTGACCCCCTTCTCAGTGTCTCGCGACATCCACCTTAGGAACAACTGGCTTAGATAACTATGAATGGGTTAGATAACTACAAGCTAATTTAAAGGAAAATACCTGCTCATCCAAAGGTAAGAAAAAACTAATCTTAACCCTATCATCTTTTCTTCCCTGTTGACACTCCCCTTGAATATATCTCTTCATCCCCACTCTTATTTTCTACTCATTCCTCCTCTTCTCCTCCCCATAACTTCCCAATTCCCTGTTCACTCATCTGTAAATATGGAGGAATGTTATTTCCCCCGAAGAAAATTCAATAGGGCACAGGCGAGCAGACAGAAGTGCCTCTACACACCTGTTTGTAGAGGAGGAAGGAGCTCAGGCACAGCAGAAGGTGGGTAGGACTGATCTGAAAAGATGCAGGAGGCAAACCCCCTTAATCCCTGTGACATTTTAGCTCACACATCTCATCAAAGCCTCACAGCTCCAGTGCTGCTTGAGTGAAGGCAAAAGACAGAGAAGCAAATGTTGGATTTTGTAAAAGGAGAGGATTTTGTAAAAGGAGAGGATATTTTTTAAAAGCTGGGATTCTGGGCTCAGATGAATTGTTGATTGCAAAGCCTAGTTTTTTCTCTTTTGCAATGCTGGCATCATCATAGATACTGTGTTGTCCTCAGAAGATGCCAGTGAGCACAGCCCCTTTATTGAGAAACTGGCACAGAAGTTAGGCTATACAACGATGCAGACCGGATCATTCATACCATGTGATTTAGCTTCTTTTAAGAAACTCTGCCCTAAAAAGCAATGTTGGGGTAAGATTGCGATATTTAGAAAATTTCAGGGCTTTCTTTCAATCAGAAAGCCACTATGTTTAGAACTATTACACAGACGCAACACGTACTTGTTTCTCCGCCATATAGAAATAATCAATCTTATTCCTCGTGGTCTCGTTTGCTTATGTAGGTCATGTAAATGCATCAATATTAATCTCAGGCTGTTTCATAACCAGATACAACTCCTCACATGAGCTTTGTGCTCTTGTTTTAATTCTACATAAATATCACCTGTCATACTTCTTAGCTCCCTTTGCAATTTCTGCACAAACCCATCTTTCACCCTCTGGTCAGCAGTTAGTTTAAACTAGCTAGTTTACCTAACCCGAAAGAGATGGCAAAGAGTTTACACATGCACTATAAAGGCTCAGCAAGTGATACACGGCATTACACTTTGATATGATGCTCTTTGCATACTAAGTCTGTATGGTCCCCCCTTTAGCTGTGCTCAGTGGTATTATAACTTCAGTGCCACTCTTTGACACCTGTCAGAGCAACCTGGGCATTCACTCCCCCCCCCCCCCCCCCCCGTGGGCTTTGAAACCCTCTGAGACAGCAGCTCCTCTACATTTATCAGTCCCTACCTCGAACACCCTCACTGTCCATATAGTTCAGCTTCCTCCTGGATTCATCCAGGCATGGGGATCCCCGAGGGGAGAAACCTACGAGCCAAATGTTCTGGCAGGCATAAAAGACAGAAGAGGCAGAGAGGGAATTCAGCACAAGTTAAATTTTAAACTGAAAAAGACCACTTTCCTGGATTTGAAGGTGGTTCCAATAAAACGTTTCTATTAGACAGTTAAAGCCTATGTTGCACACAAAAGCTGAGCCACATGCAATGTGTGTGAAACTTATTGTCTAGTTCAGTGGCTCTCAAACATTTCACAATGTGTACCACCACATAAAATATTTGGCTCTCCAAGTATCACCGTTATGGCCAAGTTCAACATACAGCTTACGTCTGTTTAACTACATACACAGTTTGGGGCCATTTTATTCCTGTTATTTATTATTGACAGCTCATTCTCTGTGCCACTCCAAAAGAATCAACCAATCACTGGATGTGACTCGAGTCATATGTCGTTGACTTCAGTTGCCCTGCTTGATATATACGCCAAACTTCACTTTCTAATAATTCCTGTTTGAAGTTAACTGTCATATTTGCTTCCTCTGCTTGCCTTTGCTTGTCAACCATTTGATTTGTACATCTTTATTTAAAAAAACAAACAAATCAGAGACTCCCATATAAGAGACTCAAGACCACAAGAGAGTCCCACATGAGGGATCCCGCGTACCACCAGTGGTACTCGTACCACAGTTTGAGAATTTAATGGTCTAGTTGTAATTTGAGATAAACGTGTGGGGGTCACTTGCCTTGCATATGAAGCTTGCCTGCCTGTGGATGAAACAGAAATAACAGCAGAGCAGAATATCAGGTACACTGCAGTGGAAGACAGACTTGTTTTTGGCTTCACACTGACAAAAACAAGTCTGATGATCAAACACAAAGAGGAACAGTATTGGACCTCAACAGGCCTGTGATAATAATATATAGAAAAAGAGAATATATAGAAAAAAAACAGTACATAAAACTATTTGATTACACACTCTGGGTGACTTTCAAAACTGAGTGAGCGTGCGTGATGAAATACCTTCGGTTTTCCCTGCAACAACCCAAGCAAGGTGAGTGCCGTGAAGTTTTTTGGTCTCAGCATGAATGATGTTTGTCTATTCAACAAGCATGCATTTCAATACGGCCCAGATGAATACCTAAGCGTGTCATTTACGCTCGGTGTTTGCTCTGAAGATTACATTAATAATCCACAGAGAGAGGGGATTATGGTTTGAGGCCCGACTGATTCAGAAGGCACAGCTGGGACAAAGTAAATTGAGGTCATATACTTATAGGGCAGGTTCTGTGCCATTTGATCCTTGGTCTAGATTCATAATGGCATCAATAGCTACAGCTGGATAACCACATTTGTATTTAGCTGGGGATAAACGTAATGATTTTCGTCAGCCTTAAGTGAAAGCCACATTGAAAAGAAGACCTATTCTATAGAGGTTATATAAAAGGCTTTAAAAAAAAACTTCATTCCCACACTTGTGTAGTTTAATGTCTTCTAACAGGTGTCCAGGCGCCCCCGGGTCCAGGTGTTCAGCATACTCACTGATAGGAATTATATTCAAGCATAGTCAGCCTATTTGAATTGTGGTGAGATGTTTAGGCTCATATGATTTTTAATAAAGTAGGTGATGACCAAACACTGTTTCTCACCTCATGTTGTCATTGCTGTTCTTTATTTTACCACAGGGTGGCAGTCTTGCGCGAGTGCATAAGCGGGCTATCTGCATACACACGCGCACACACACACACACGCACACACACACACACACGCACACACACACCTGCTAACGAGCTGTGTAATGAACTGCAAAGTCAATTTAGAAAATGTTGTTTCAGCTAAGTTGAATGAACATAAAGAATGATGAATAATTTACCTTTTCTTTAAGTCTTATATAAATGATCATACAATTATATGGACTCAACTTCAAAGGTGATATGTGGAGAAAACGCTCTTCAGCTCAGAAATGATGTGATTTGTTTCAAATAGAGTGGTAATAAATATTCTTAGGGTGTGTTAAGCACATAGCCACTGTAGCTGGTACAATGCCATTTCATTCTATGCAAACATTTATTATTGTAGTTTGACATATTGAGTTATTTCTTCATACCTGCAAAACGACTTATCATTGTTTATCTAATTAACATAGGGCCTTGAATTCAGCGGAAAATTGCACACAAGAAATCTGTACAAGTTTGAGGATGTGCGTTCAGCCATTGGATGATAGATTACACTAGCACACAGCGGCGGTATGGGGGGGAAACCTTGTCGTCCCGCCTCCTCTGAACCATTTGCAGGCCTGTCATTGGCTGCCAGACTCGTCACTCGCTGTCCTCTCAGGGTAGGTTGCTCTGCACCGTTAAGATGCTCAATTGATGGGCGTACAGGGCTGTGTGCAGTGAAAGAAGACACCTCTACGTGTTTCATTGTTGCAAAACAAACAAAAAAAAAAAAAACCATGGTCCCTCCTGGATCTGTCGCTGCCGGTTGCAGGTTTCTCCGCTTCACCCTTCCTGGAGCTCGGCTGTTTTTTCTCCCTGCGCGCGGTGACAAGCGGGCTGCACGATGCTATTGCGGCGTTTTAAAGGGAGAAAAGCTCATGCAAGAATAACAACACGGAGCAGTGCATCGCAGCTAGCCCTTTTACACCATTGTTCATTAGTTTAATCCGGATGAGGTTATTTGCTTGTGGTCCTCGCACATCGCAGACACTTCGGGGGGAGAATTGGCTGAAACGCACCTGCCGCGAGATAACCGGAGGGAGCACATGGACCCCCCTTGTTCCCTGGATTCTCAAATCGGGCTGCCACGTTGAAGTATTTCTGTTAACCACCACTCGCCATGGATCAGCCACAGTTTTTAATCTACACTGGTTTATTTACTCGTCGCGGGGCTTCACACCAGCCCGAGCGTGAGGATGACAGCTGATCGCCCCTCCTCTCCCAGGACTTCAATAAAAAACGCGCTCCATCTGAATCCCTCCGTTGGAAAGCCGGAGTGTCAGTTTCAGCCGTGTTCGACAATAGATGGAGCGCAGAGGGATGTGACACCTTCCCCTCTCTCCCTCATCAGGTTACCTTCGCACCTGCCACTCCGGCAAAGAATTTCCGGAAGAGCCCTTTAATTGCATTTGCACTCATCTTGAAAGAAGTCTCTCTCTCTCCCCCCCAACCCCCCCCCCCGTCGTTTCTGTAGGAAGTGGTTTGAAGATGCTCTGTCCGATAAGGTCTTCACATGGAAACTACATTTCTCTTCTTCTACGGTACTTTGCGCTAAACCAGGGATGATCCTTGAGTAGCCGATAAAATAATCAGCGCCTCGGTGTCAGCAAAGGCTTCAGCCACAGGGGATTTGTGTAGATTACCGCCGGACTGCTATTTTGCTCTCTTGGTCACAGTCTTAACTGAACTTAGCGGCTTTTGATCTGCAGCCTTTTCCCGGCTGCCCCGGCCCGCCTCCAGCACGGACTGCCTGTTTACAAGCCACGCTATTCATAGAGGAAAAGGGGGGTAAACCGGGCTGCATTCATAAGCAATGACTACCACAGAGGTGTTTGGAGCCACATCTGAGGATACGACGCGTTTGGCGCTGCTGTCAGCCCGTGGATCCGGGGGAATGAGACGCGCTTTAAGCTGTCTGTAGTTAACACTCCCTGTTTCACTGGCCGGTCACATGCCGTGGCTGTGACCGGGAGAAGTTGCCTGTCAGTGTAGAGCTGCAGACAGACAGGAATCAAACACAAGCAGCAGCAGCAGCCCGAAACGAGCACTTTCCCGGACCCGTTTTGACTCTCTACCGGGCGGCTACCGGAGGATGGTTGTGCCAGGATGCTGCGCTTCCCCGTGAAGAAGATCCGGAAGCAGTTCAAGCTCCTACTGCTGCTGGTTCTGCTCACCTCCGCCGTGTGGTTCACCTACCTGCACATCAACCAGGGAAAGACCATCAAACTCCACTTCAACTATGGGAAAGGTAGGCTTTGAGAGAGAGAAACCTCACTCATATCATCCGAGTCATTCCGCATCCAAGTTCCGCTGGTCTAGATGGATATGAACTCACAGCTCCTGAATACATTTCAAAGTACTGGTAACAGCCTCCTATGAATACTGTAGTGACATCTCAGCAGGTTATGCCATAAACTATAGTGTAATACTGCTATTAACTCGAGTAACATCACTATAAAGCCACTACTGAGTGCAGTTGGCCCCGACAGGGATATTATAGGAATATTAATGTCACACCTGAGGGGACAATATGCTATAAACTAAAGCATGATACTCTTGGTTGTCAACATAATAACTGGTCTAAGGACAACATTTTATGTTTTGGATAGTAGGCAAAACTAAAAGGTTGCAAGCAAGCATAAGCAAACGAGATTTCGTAGCCTGTAAAGTGTCATATTTTGTGACTTGCTTATCAGTTTCCTGTAACCCAAACTTGCGTTTTCAAATTATTTTTTTAGAACTAACTGTTAAACCCGCAAAAACTCTTCCTTTGCTGTCATAAACAAAAAAGTCAAGCAGCAAATCCTTACACTTAAGAATCTAGAGCCAGCAAATGTTTGTCATTTTTGCAGGAAATGCCTTTAGAATGATTCATTGATTATCAAATGATTTGGTGAAACATTCATTTAGTTGTTTTCAGTCAGTAAAAAAACAGACTTATATGAAGTCCTTTCATTAGGATTCTATGTTGTATTGATGTCAAATGTGTCCCGGAGACTAACTGCCATACTGAATGATGGGTGCTTCCAGATATGCTGCGATGAAGAAGTGACACAGAGAGGCAGCATGTCTCATAAATTAACAACGGTTTCCTTCTCCAGCTCAGTAAAGAGCAGCGCGGTGTTGGCCTGGGTCGTAAGCCAGACCTCCGCCTTCAACATTAATAATCAAAGGGCTGTTCATGAAGGTGGCCTCAGAGGTCACAGCTACGCCAGTCAGACTTTGAAAAATATCCCGGCTGGGTGAGTACAGCGCGGGAGACAGATTTCCACCTGCTGCTTTAGTACTTGATCAAATTCATCCGCTCAGTGAGACGTCGAGTAGAACTATTAATGTAGAATATACGGATTAAACGTGTTGGATTATGTAACGTCGACTCACCTACAACAGATTTAACTTGGGATGATGGTGTACCCTCTCTTCTGCAGCTGTCTGTGTAAAGTGATAGGCTACTCAATGATTATGATGTCCTTGAAGAGTGTACCCGAGCACATGCACACATTATACACTAACAGACAAGGATCAAGTTATTGTCTCTTGTTCTCAGCCCTGGGGTTTTCCCTGCGGCGGCCCACATTTAGTTTCCTGACGGTGAGAGTTAAGGGCACACTCACACCAGGCTTATCAGTCACAGACTGACGTTGGTCTGCTGCTGTGTTGCATTTAGTGAACTGCATCTGAAATGATTGTGAGTTTGTGTCAGGATTAAGGATGGGAATAGGCAACCAAGTGTCCTGGCAGGAAAGTCCACATTTAAGAAATATAATCTTCCACCGTGGATTAAGCTTCTGTAGACTTTATGAAGTATGATTAACAAATATTGGAACATGCAAATTGGGGATCTCAATACACCTTTTGTGTCTTGTTGCTGACCTGGTTGGTCAAATGCACGGCCCATTTCCCATGATGGGAGTGAATGCATGGCAATGATGACACATAAAATGTCCTTGTCTTAATATTGCACTGCAGGCACTGCGATACATTTATGTGATTATCATAATGCAATGACGATGGGAGTGGGATTTATTGTTCAGCCATTTATGTGGCTGAATTTCGTTGAAAAGTGAACAAAAATGTAGAGCACAAGCCTCAGAAAGATTAAAATGTAATGTAATGTTTAACGCGGTTATTAAATTGCACGGCACTATAAAAAAAGCAGCAAAACAACACAGAAGTTATTATATGACATGAGCAGGGACAGACTTTTTCTCTTTCTAGTATTCTTTAGGACATGGACTGGACATTAATCCTACAAGCATTTAACAACAGTGGCAAGGAAAACCTTCCTTTAGCAGGCAGAAACCTTTAAGCAGAACCAGACTCATTGGTGTATATACAGCCATCTGCTGCGACAGGCAGGGCAAAGGAAGTTTGAGGTAGAGGAGGGAGGAGATAGACGAGCAGAATCACTTGATATCAGTGCATTAAACATTCCTTAAACTTTGTGAATCTGCTGTATCTGCAGACTTGCTGCTGATTTCAAGTCAACTCGCATCATAGTACTGTACGCTAACCACTTTGATCCTCACAATCACAGAGCCGGACACACTCAGCTTTTCTTCATCACTGCTTTCTTTATTTTAAGAATCCCACTAATAGTCATGTAACCCTCAGTGACTGGTCTGATGAGGAAGGAAGGAAGTTGTTCTGCTGGTCTGTGCCGGTCTGTGTGCCTAATTGACTGTCTTCCATTTAGCAGGCATCTGAGCAGGTCAACTCACTTAACCTCTTATGAATAACATGTCCGCTCTCGCACCGAGGCTTTCTAAGTGAGACATAGCCATTACTGAAACTGGGGCTCCATGAAGTGTGTAAATATTCATATCAGGCTGGCAGTATTCTCTCCACACACGAATCCTCATTGATTGTAAGCGCTGAGGTGCAGGGCCAGGTAGAAATAATGTCATTTCATCTTTGGCCTGAGTTCTCCCTTATTTGAATATGAAATGACAATTTGTCAAATTTCCATTCCGCTTGTCCCAATTTAGAAGGAAATTCGATTTGTCTTCGGCAGATCCTCTCCTTGAGCGAGCACACACACACATCGGCAGATTGCTGCGAGTGCTTCAGCCACTAGATAATGTCTCGTTGGCGTGTAACCAACAGACTTATGAGAAATGTAAACATCTTGGCGTAAAGTGCCCCGTTGAGGCCAGTGTCTATCTAATTGTGAATAATGATTTAAGAAGTGTGTCGGAGGCCGTTTGCAGCAGGTGAGTTTATACTCAGTCTGTTTCAAACTTCAGTTTACTCCCCTCAGTGCGCCCGTGTGTTGCTTCACTGGCTCCACATAATGAGGGAGCACAGGCCTGAAACTTAAGGTGAACGCTCCTTAATGGATCCCCTGAAGACTCTGTTTTTTACACATTGTAAACAGTGTTTTGCACGAAATGCTCTATGAGCATCGTGAAGAGCTAACACACATGGTTACTACATCTTTTAAACAGTTGAAAAGTCTTTTTTGAAGGAGTTAAGACATCGAAAAGAGTTTGTAGCCTTTTTCTTTTCCTCTTATGGAACTATGCTACCTCCTTGGTGGATTAAGCCAACAGCTCTACTTGTTGTAATGTGTTCATCCCTCCCTGTTAAAGGTGCACTATGTAGATTTGGGAGTGAAATTTGGAAGTTGGAGAAGTGAAACAATTCTATGCTATATTTTCTGAACTAAAAACACAAAATTTACTCGATGAAAAAATAGGTCCCTGAAACACTGTTTGGAGCTAAAAAAGCTACCAGGAGAGTTACGCTTTCTCTGTTGCAGGCCCACCACCACAACTTCTGGCGTAGCATTTGATCTTCAAACAGTATTCCAGGGACTTCTTAGGACAGTTGCACAGAGATCGTAACTGTCACTTGCATACAGTCTATACACCGACTCCAGTCACAGGATATATATATTCTGGTGCGGAATGATTTGCAGATTCACTTAATCACTTCTGGAATGAATGTAGGTTCTCTTGACAAGATGCATACGGTTCATGTTGGCGTGCTGGCACAGCTTGGAGAGAAAAGGATAATAATTACTGAAAGGACAGCACTTTACAGCCCCCCCAAAAATAATTCAATTTTTTTTTTCCAGAATGTTTTGCCGACAGGTTAGGTGTGCAGTGCGAGTTAACATTGTGATCTATATTTATGTTAAACCCCTCAGTGTTTAGAGGAGCCATGACTCTCTTGAACTAGCCTGTGTTTTACTCATCTATAGCAAACAAAAACATTGAATATCAATAGATGCACACTTCTTTACTTAAAAGTCCCAAGCGTTCACCAATATCCCACCATTGTTTCTGTGTGTAGACAAAGAAGTCAGTTTCAATCAAGCGTCATCACTCACAGCACTGAAGCAACCGCAGCTGAACTTAAACAGGCCGTCATTTTCTAAATTATTCAATACAGGAAAGAGTGGTGTGATACGCAGACGTGTGATGAGTGGTCTGCTCACCTTTTAATGAAGAGGACACACAAATCACTAAAAACAAAAGGCTCTGTCCAAAATCGCACTACTCACTATCATCTATAGCACATTATAAAAGGAATTTAGTTAGAATTATAATATTAGACTCTATAATTACACAATGCATTGTGAAAAGTAGTGTAGAACTGGTGGTCATCAACCAAGCAACATTTACCATCACACATTTTGAAACTTTGGTGGTGGTGGTGGTGGGGGATTTATTCATAACGTTGAGCATACTGTGAGGAGTTTTATTTGGTCATGAAACACACTCAAATAAACACTAAGGCCTCTCTTCATGGCATACAAAAGCAAACAAAACTATCTGGAAGAATGAATAATATTTCTGTTTGATTATTTGAATGCTTCTCACTACTACTTTCAGGTCAAAGGATTTGGCAGCATGCAGACAGGATGTGTCTTTTTCTGCATTTTCCATGAAAAAGATTCACTGTGAAGATATGTCTGATGTTTAAAAGATAGCAGGACCACATTTCTTGTTTTTAGAACACTACTAAACAGGACAAGAGATAAGATGTTTGTCAACAACAAGACAACATTATGAATGTTGCTTTAACTTTTGGTCTACTCAGTCAAATTTGAACTCCAGTTGCCTTTCTCTCGCTCTTCTGCAGCTTATAATCATAGATTCTCTATAATGCAATGAAACAGTCCTTTCTTATCCAGTCGGTGTGATCGTGTCTCTTCACTGCTTTACGGTATGGATGGGACAAAATATCTAAAAGGCCATATATCATTGTCCTGACATGTGTAATCCAATTATAAATACGTTT